TAACAATATTATTAGAGCCGGGAACCGATATACTGTAGACCCGTAAAAAAAACCCCCACCATGTCGGTCGCCTTTGCTTCTGCTCGCCCAAGAGGCAAAGGGGAGGTCACCCAGCAAACTATCCAGAAGGTAAAAAAGCATGCTTTTATCCAGACAATTTTAGACATTTATTCCCTCCGTGCTCTTGTAGCTGAGGAAGGAGGCTTATTCCTAGGGCGATCAGGAAAACTAGGGAATTTGCGAGGGCTGCAGAGATGGACAGCTGGAGAGAAGAGGTGGGGGAAGGAGGAGGAGGAGGAGGAGGAACAAAGCAAAGGTGTTCAGATCACCGCAAAGAGAGAGCGAGAGAAGGACTCGGGGAATAAAATTGGGATGGCATGTTCTCCGCTGCTCGCAAAGGGGAAAAAAGCTGCCAATAAGAAATTGGGAAATGGCAATAAAATCTGCAAAGATATGATTGATTTCTGATGGCATGTCAGCTTCTGGCCCAAATAAAAAACCCAACCTCAAAAATGAATTAAAATAAAATATGGAATTTGCAAGGGTTTTCTTTTGTATTGAGATGCAGAATTTTACTCTCTCAGAAGGTAGAGGGAGCACCAAGCACCGGGATTTTTCATATTCTATTATCATTACTTGTGTTGTGTTTATTGACGTTTAATGACAAACAAAGGTTTCGGAAGGTTTTCTCTGGAGAGGAGATCTCCGCACGGGTCTCGTGTGGCGGCCAAGGCAGAGGGTTCCCACTTGGGAAGTTATTGTTTCCTGTTCGGCAGGATTGAGGGCAGGGATGCACACACGCCTGACACCCCTTCTCCTGCAGAGGCGGTGAGGGAGAGGCTGGAAGTGTCAGTAAAGAACATGGATGTTTTCCCGTCTTTTTTTGCGTGTTCCCCACCACGCAGGTGTCTTGTTTACGCGGAGTGGTGTCGTGCGGTGGAAGTGAGCTCTGTGTGTGTGTGTGTGTGTGTGTTCTACGTGGTCCACTCGTAGCGGCCGCTGGAGAAGTGCCATTGCTGGTACAGCCGTTAACCCATCATCAGGGGGCTCTGCAGCCAAACCACTGTCTGGTGCCAGTTCATGACTTCTAAGGAAAAAAATCCCCCAGTGGAAGACTGTGACAGAATAGAGACTAGGACAGAACAAACTGGTGTGAGAACGACTGAAGAGGTGACTTGAATCTCAGGAGACTATTTGCAAGCTGATCCCATTTTGTGTAGTATTGTCTTGTACTACACGTCTTGCTGCACGTGTAGTATTGTGAACCACTTAATTTTAAATATGAAAATATTTCAGACTCAGTGGCTAAGTTTTTCTCTAATGTCCACATTGGTTTGAGTTTAAAGAACTTCATAATTCTGATAGTTTGTACTTAAAACCATGACTGTATCCAGAGACAAAGGGCAGCCAAAGTATCGTCAGTTTGATTTCCAAGCCCTTTCCTTTTTGCATCTTCATGAACTTCATGGAAGCTTCAAAACATTATTTCTTTCCCAATAATGTGTGAAACACTTCCCATCTCAGGTACGTTTGCTGGAATGTTACTTCAGGACTGTTCAGCGGTGCTGGGCAGTGATTTTCTTGTTGACAAGGGGTGATGCTGAGGAAGAGACGTGCGGGCACAGTGGCTGGGTGGGCTTTACAGTCAAGTATAGAAATGGGGCAGTGAGAGAAGGAGCAGGTGCTGGAACTCAAAAAGTCCTCAGTAAAGTGAGTCTTTTAGAACGTACCAATTTCATTGAAAATTATTCTTATTTGTATTTGTAATATATATAAGCGGCTTATTTTTATTTATTAACTCGGTTTTGATAGTCTGTCAAAGCTGTTATTATTCCAGGACCAACTATTCTAGAATAGATTTCACGTGGAGGAAGTTAGAGCTTTTGAAAAGACAGCAGTGATGGTGGTGCTTTAAAATAGTTCATCAAATAGCATTTGCAGGGCAGTAAACTTGAATTTCTTCTGTGTGATGGGGATGAGAACTCAGTCCTTTTTCCTTAGTAAGTTAGGAAAAGAGCTGTTCCTGATTTCAGTAAGCAAAATATTCTTCAGGTAGTTGTAGAAGCGTAGCCCTTTTCTGATGCAGATGTCTGTGATATTGCTTGGACTCCTGCTGCTGAATACATCTCGTAACTGACTGTGACAATGTTGGCAGTGATTTCCGATACGGAAACTGCAAATGACAGGTTTACTTTCTTTGCTGACTCTACAGAATTTCCACTGACACATGTGAAAATTCTGTACAGCAACGAGTCCAGAGCATGAAACAAAGAGCTGCACTGTGCGTCAGGCAGGAGTATTTTCTCTTAGCATGACGCGCTGCGCCCGGGTTGCCATGCGAGCACAGGCACGCGTGCAGGAACATGGATTCTTGACTGGCACAGACCTGACGTTCCCTGTCGGCGTTCGGGAGCTGCCAGCCCACCTGCTGTGGCCGGCCGCGGCAGCGCCTCTGTGCCGCCGGCCCTCGCTGTCGGGAGCTACACGGGATCACGGCGAGCTCCAGCAGTCGGAGCCGGAGATGGACAAGGGTGTCCAGCAAAGTGAAGACCAACTTGTAAATTCCCAGCGAGAAGCAGAGTTCTCTAAGGGACTGACTAGCCAGATTGCAAGGGCATCAGAAAGACTCTTCTGCTCATTTTCTTATGATCTATCCCTTTGTTTGCACCTGCATGTGTCAAGGATTTGTTTGAACACAAATCTGCAGGCATTAATCCACATTTTTCATAGGAAAAAAGGTTATTCTTTCCTCAAGAGTCCTTCTGTCCTGATGACACAGGGGTTCAAAGGCCCAATCTTGCCAGCACGGAATAGCAGTGGTACCTACAAACTGTATGATGTGGTGAGTTTTTGCCACAGGCAACTCTAAATTTGCAAATACTGATGTTATTTTTCCGTTCGTTCACCTGCAGAAAGCTTGTCACATTCCCAAGAAAGCTGGGGGAAAGAGACAAACTACTGTATTTGAAATGTTAAAACAAATCAAAGGATATTTAAAGCTTTTAATTGCATTATAAGTCCATTCAATAAAAGCCAGTGGTAATTTTGTCCAGCAGCCCCGATTTCCTTGGAACAAGTCAGTCACTGGAATTTTTTGAGTGAAGCTAAGGTAGCAGCAACTGATATACAGAAATTAATGGATATATAATTACTCTGTGTTTTCATTTTAAGTCCTCCCTGTATTAGAACTGAACTACTCCAAAGGACATATTGGGATGTAACTCTCTTAAATGTGGTTTCAGTAGATCCAGTAAATGCAAGTTTTAGACCTTGTCAGGTTCAGTAGCCTGCACATGCTAGTCCCGTGCACGAAAACAAGGTTTAAATTGTTTGAAAGTATTATTTCTTATTTGAAAGTAGGCATGTTAGTAAAATCTGAAAAGTTTCTGAAGTTTTGGAAAGGGTGGAGTGATATTTTTGAGTGAGGCAGAGGTATTTAATAGAAAAAATGTTTTCCTTCTTCAGTGTAAAAAAATCTGCCTGCCATTTAAGGAGCGAAAAACATAAGTCCATGAATTCTTCTGTGTTGGGTATTTCAACTCACTAATTTAAAAATAACTCTGCATAAATGAATTATATGAAAAGCACAATCTTGTGGCTCAATAAAGTGATGTGTAGGTACGTTGTAATAGCCCAAGGCAGCAAAAGTGCACCACCCGCTGCCAAGAAGGGTGAGTGCGGAGTGTCACAAAACACAGGACTTTAATACGATTCGCGTAGTAACGTGTTTTGATCCTATTTCTTTTATGCAGATGCTAGATGAAAATCACCACCTAATACAATGTATTATGGATTATCAGAGCAAGGGGAAAACGGCAGAATGTACTCAGTGAGTATTACGAGTTTTGGAGAATGTTAGAAATTTTTGGTGTACTTTTTCTCAAGAATAGTCCTATGAACAGTTCTATTCATTGATCACTGAGAAAAAACTTGGACTATTTTATTTTTAGATCCACTTGTATTAAGACATGTATATTGTTCTTGGGACAGAGATCTTTTTTTTCCCCCAAAGTATTTGAGTATTTACAATATTTCCAACAGATTGTTTATTGTAATAATAAATCATATTTATTGTAATAATAATCATATTTATTAAAATAAACACTTAAGGTTAATGGACCACTTGTTCTATGCAGATTCATTAAATAAAAGTAGAATCAGGTACAAAGTTAATAACACGTTTTCATCAGAAAGTAATTAAATGTTAAGGCTCAGCAGTGTGGTTATCTGTGGCTAAAACAATATGCATGTAGACATACGAGTTTGTGTCACTGCTCACTTTCCTAATCTTGAAAGCAAAATGCTGTTATAAACTTTAGGGGGTTAAATTTCAGTCAGGAAGAATAGCCAGTCTGCCCCATGAAAGGTCAAGTTATGGGGTCAAACTCAGAAAGCTGTGCTTTCCAAAAAACTGTACAAAAAAAGATACTTGTGCTGAAAAGTCATGTCACCGTTCTGGCCTAATTTTTTTGCCACTTTTACCCCTCCCCACCCATTTTCCTCTTATCAGAAGAAAACTCATGCTAAAAAAGCATTTTCTCCTGCCTTCCTGGAACGCTCCTTGTTTCCAGAAGTTTGACTCCTCACTTGGCTCAGCAGCACAGCTGTTAGTTTGCTTTTGGATGCCCTCCTGTTCTGTGTTAGGAGCTTTTCCAGTTCATCGAGAACTGTGAAGAAGCATGAATGGTTCTGGTGGTGCTTACTTGAGTAAACACTCCAGTTAGAGCACTCTTGAAAAAAATCCTGTTCTTCTCAGCTTGCTGGCAAGGCAAACAGGTTTGGGTTTTTGGAGTTCTGGAATTTCGTTGCTACTAGGACTCTTGTTAAACGGAAGAAGAAAAAGTGGGTAATTGTTAGAGTAGCAGCCCAGGTGTCAGTACTCAAAGGCTGAGGTTCCACCTTCACAGTTCACTCAAGGTGCTTTCCAAGGAGAGTGTAGTTTACCTCTCCCTTCCCCCAGGTTTACCGATTTATAAAAGAGGTGTTGAAGACACTGATCCTTGATGAAAAGCGTGACAACACAGATACAGGTCATTACTATTTATTATGACAGATGAAAAGTAGGCTAATGTAACTTAACTAATCATTTGTAAATAGCAAAAAAAGAAAGAGAAAGGTTTGAAATTTTCTGTATTGCTAACCCTTTCCAAATGAGCTTTACTTCTTATCCTGTAGATACCAACAAATCCTGCACAGAAACCTGGTTTACTTGGCAACAATAGCAGATTCTAACCAGAATATGCAGTCCTTGCTTCCTGCTGTAAGTACCAGTGCTACCATCAGATACATTTACTATGCCAGAGGGAAATGGTCTTTGATTCTGTTACTGATCACTGTCAATAAACCATATTTTAGTATTTTTCTAACTCAAAGTTTTGAAGCGGTCAAGTAGACCACTAAACAATCAAAAGCTGCTTTTACTGTGTTTAGAACATATTCTTTGGGACATTCGTGTTAATCTCTGTAGCTCAAGTTCTATGTTCTATAAATGGTGCAGTGGTACGGCGCTGAACAGGCTCTGTTTGTCCCAGTTTTGTTGTTTTTTACCTATTCGTACTGTATTCTTTATATTCTATCTATATTCTTTACTCAGGAAAAAAATGCCACTATTTTATGTCAAAAATCTAATTTGGTATTTGGGCATTGGTTTGTCTGTAAACATTGTGTTATTCTTGGTAAATGGATTGATTTGGGAGGCATCCCACATAACACAAAATACAGCACAGCTTTATGCTCGCCAAAGGTCAATTTGTCAGCACGCTCGTGTATCGTCTTTGCTAATGCATATCCATATCCCCTCAGCAGTTACGTTCTGACAGCACAAAATGAAATTCATGGAAGTACGGAAGAACGGGCACGGAAGCCAGACTCTGTTACAAGGACAATTTTAAGATCTTCACTGTGTTGCCTGCTGGCTTCTCTGTATCGTGCTGAATGTCATTCACACGTCGCAGTCAAACGAACAAAGGTTTATGCAGCAAGCCCAAAAAGTGAAGGAAGCACATGTTTAGTTGAGGCAGTTTTTAGTCATAGCCAGGCTAATTTGGAGGTTATTATTTTTCTAATTAAAACCTAACCAAAAATTTGCTTCTCCTCCTTGTTGTTCGCAGCCACCAACGCAAAACATCAACTTGGGCCCGGGAGGAATGACTCAGAGTGCATCCAGCCAGTCTCTCCATTCACAGAGCAATCTCAGCGATGCGATTGGGACGGGCCTTCCTCCTTCCTCCCTCATGCAGAGTCAGATTAGCAACGGTGAGCCTCAGTCCCCTTTGTGCTGCTTTGCTGTTGCTTGGCAACAACATCATTAATGCAGAATATACTTGCAGAGCTGTAAAAGACCTCTCCTAACTCACCTTTCAGGCATAGGAGGATTTCAGGCACATGCTGAAATCATCACAAAATGGCTACAGTCAGTAATGATGTTGGCTTCTGCAAGGACTCCAGTCTGCTTAGAATTTCTGTAACGGAAATTAAAAACATTTTTTTAAAAATGCATAATGAAAATCACCAAGTAAAGACACATCCAAGTTTTTAGTAAGAAAAAATATATATTGTAGGATTTTTCTCTTGAAGGTGGTGGGGTTGGCCAGGGTAGAATGGAATTGCTTGCATGACTAGCCCCACAACCAAGCCTTTAGATTGCAAAGACCTTCCAGTAGACAACGCTTTCTTAAAGATAATTTGGTGTTGCATCAGTCTTTGTCCTCTACAGAAGCCTGCAGAGATTGTACGACATAGCCAAAGAGTTTGCACAGACACTTCGTATGAATAACATAATATACTTTGTCTATTTGTTTCTTTTGTTCGTGCAACTAAAGAGAAACTAATTGAAAGACAATTTTTTTTTCTCTGTGCATTTTTTAGTATGAATAATCTGTTTATTTATTTTGTAATTCATAGTTATTTAGTCAGTTCTTGTTTCTGTGGGTCTTTCCTGGAGTGACACAGAGAGAAAATGGTGTCTATAAATAGGAATATCTGATTGTAAAATCACAGACCTTTGCAGGGGAACTCAAAAGCAGATGCCAGCCATGAAATTACTTTTGACTGTTTAAAAATCTATTTGTGGTCAAGCTGATAGTACCTTTTAAACTAATGGATGAGGTACCTACTTTGAAGAGTTACAACTTGTGAAGTGAACTTACTAAATTTATCTGGGCCTTCTTTTTGAAAAGATTATCACCTAGTATAAGTATTATTGTTTTGTGTTAGTAAGAATCTACATTCTCGGTGTTATTATTGCTGTTTTTTCTTATTTGCCACTCCCCCACTCTCATTTCTTATTGTAATTTAGTGCTAGATATAGAAGCCACTCCATTTTATTCTTTGTTGTGCTCAGTCAGGACTTTACAGAAATCACCTCTGCAGGACAGTAACGAGGTAACTCTCTACGTACATGGGAACTCTCCACAGTGGCAGGAAAGGTCAGCTGTAATGACAATTCTGTTGATGGGGACAAGTTAAAAAACAACCCACTGAGATTTCAAGTAATCCACCATCCACAAGTCAGCGATTCTTCACACCGTAGCCCTGCAGAGAAACCCATTAGACTCAGTAAACCAACCAGTGGAACTCAGCTGCCTCTGGGCAGAATTGGGCCCGACCGAGAATTTTCACTCTTCAGAAATCAGGAGTGAGGCCTTTCAAAGGAAAACCCAACTGCCTTAGATTCATGAAAGTATGAAAGAGATTCAATGCTTTCTGTTTATCTTATTGGTTTAGTGGTTTTCTTTAAACACTTTTGGTCATGCTTTCATATTTTCCCTTAGAATCACAATTTAGCCAAACCTTTTTTTTTTTTTTTCCCTTCTTTAAAAGGCCAAGATTCTCTAAGTTTTCCCATGGAAATAGGGCAAGGTTTACCAACACTTGCGTTACTCCATCTCACACTTGCTAACTCCATTCCAGCACCATGTGGTCTTGTGTTGCACAAGTAGAAGTAGCAGCTTTACAAGACGTACAAGAACTGGAGCAAAACGTATACTGACCTGGCTCCACTGATTTCAGCAGAGCTGGTTCTCTTTATCTCCTGTTGAAAATGCTGCTTGCCTCTCTCCTTCAGAGAAAAACAGAATAATCTCCAGCAAATTTTCTCGTTTTGATGTCTATAAATACCATTAAGAGTAATTAATGAGGTTTATGCTAAGAGAATTAGACACATTTTTCAGAGGCTGTAGATACACTTAATAACTGTGAATTAAAATATTGTTATCTAAACATCAGCATAATTCTGTCTCTTCTAAGGATTCCGCATGTCTTCCATTCTACCTAAATTAACTTACAACAAGACATACTGTCACAATGTAGATCGTAACAATACACAATGAAAACAACTTTCCAAACCTCATTCATAAAAGTATTTACAGCAACAAACAACAAAAAATAAGGACCAGATTCTCCCCAATTTTAGTTACCCAACTGCAATAGAATTTAAAAAAACAAGCATACTGCCAGGTAAGCAGGATGATCCTCTCAAACCCAGGATATAATTGGAGCAGTCTGATAATTACATACAGTGATGTTGGAAAGGGAGTACCGTAACAACAGGGATTATTATGGTGACTTGGAAAAATTAGTTTCCAAAAATCTGGGGTACTTCCGGTCAAATTTCAGGAAAGGGAGAGACGGGCTTGTGCTGTGAGGAGAGGGTCCCTTGGTACCTCTTAAGCCCCGGCTGAGAAGGTCAGTCGGTACGGAGGAACCAAACGGATGCAGGGATGTGCAAAGTGTTTCTCAGCCTCTCCTGAGCCCTCCCATTGTCAGCGCCTGTGTGAAGGGGAAGAGGAGACAACAGCAGGACAGGAGGAAGGAAAGGACAAATTTCAGAAGGCTGGGATGTTTCCAGGGTCCATGTATTTTCTGAAGTATCTGAAATGACCGGCATTTGTTAACTGTGCTGCCTGAGAGGAACTGGTTGTAGGGCATTGCTGCTGGTTTTGTTCTTCCTGTCTGCGGTTCTGTACTGCCTGGATTTGGCTGCTGGGAAGAGGAGGGTCACTCCAGCTGTGCAGCAGGCAGTTTTAATTTGTCTGTAGATAACAGGGAATTTTAATAATGAGGAATTTTTTTTTGTTTCATTTTGCCTCATCATAAAGTATTTTAGAAAGGCCGTGAGGGCTTTAATGCTCACTGTACGTTGCCAATAATAGCACAGATTTTCTTGTTGCTCTCTTTAATTTTTCTAGGTCCTAATCACGTGTCTATGCAGCAGTCAGGCCAGAACACTATGCCCACGACCTCTCTGAGTATGACTGTCAGCAGTCATGGAACTGGGCCTGGTTATAGCCATACAGTGCCTGCATCTCAGAATGTGCCCATGCAAGGCCAGGGGTCAATAGGCAATTATGTCTCTCGAACAAACATCAACATGCAGTCTAATCCAGGTAAACTCCCTCTTCCTCCTTCTGGGCCAGCTTGACTTTTCAGTGACCTCAGAGGTTTACCACACATGAATTTGCTCTGTGAATATTTTCTGTAGACAGGAAAAGACAGCTTTAAAACATCTCTGAATTTCAGGGTGTCGGGCAGCAGTGTGAGTCGGAACCGTTTCAGACCTGCTCTGAATTACACCGACTCGCTGTGGTTAGCAATGAGTTGGGGGAGAGAGGGTCGGCGTAAAGTGCAGCAGCACTGTCTGATAGCCCCTGGCAGCAAGTCCCACAACTGTGGGAGGGATCTGAGGAGCACCTTATCCTAGCTGGAAAAGCCTCCCAAAGAGTGTTACACGTTTACTGTTTGTATGTTACTATCCCATTTTTGTTACTGATGCTTTGCACAGCTTGCAGGACATAGACTAGGAGACAATTCAGAATTAATATCTTATTTGTAAAAATGTTTGCTACTGAATATTGAACGGGATGTCCAATGCTTAAGAATTCTTTCTGACAATATGAAATTTAGGGATCAAATAAATCCTAGAATGTCAGTGTATTTAAACTGCATAATTGTCAGGTGTATAATAGGATGGAAGTAGAAGAAAGAGTTGACTAGAAAAGAAATGCAGCAACGAATTAGTCAAGAGGTAGAGAGGAACAAGCATCAGTTCTTATTTCTTTCTTTAATCCTACTGTAGTAATGATTGCATCCTTTTGAATAAGCTAATAATAATCAAGGCTAGATGTAGTTTTAAATGTCTGACTGAAGCAAATGGAAAGAACTGACCATGGAATAACATCCTTTCTGGATTACAGTGCAGAAGAGTTGAATACATGCGGTAGGAAAACATCTCCCCCTGTGGAAAATTCACAGAATGACCAGGATGCATGTTAGTTGGAGGTTTTAACTTGCTTCCAAAGAGACTAGGGAGAGAACTGTCACATCCTTTTAGAAAACAGTGTTTTACGTGTGCGTTGTAGTCTCCATGATGCACCAGCAAGCAGCAACGTCACATTACAACTCGGCGCAAGGAGGGAGCCAGCATTACCAGGGGCAGTCCTCCATCGCCATGATGAGCCAGAGCAACCAGGGCAACAGCATGATGGGCCAGCGACCCATGGGCCCCTACAGAGCTTCACAGCAAGGTAAAATCTGATTAGACTATTGATACAGTTATTATTAGATTGATGATACTCAATCCGTCCTGTGGGGTAGGTAAGTCATCAGTTTCCAAGTCACATTTATGAATAGGGAATCCCATCTGGGAACAGAGGAAATCTCAAATGGTGGAAGTATCGTGACAATCATAGAATCACAGAATCACAGAATGGTTTGGGTTGGAAGGGACCTCAAAGATCATCCAGTTCCAACCACCCTGCCATGGGCAGGGACACCTTCCACTACACCAGGTTGCCCAAAGCCTCATCCAGCCTGGCCTTGAACACTTCCAGGGATGGGGCAGCCACAACTTCTCTGGGCAACCTGTGCCAGTGCCTCACCACCCTCTGAGTGAAAAATTTCTTCCTTATATCCAATCTAAATCTCCCCTCTTTCAATTTAAAGCCATTTCCCCTTGTCCTATCACTACACACCCTTGGAAAAAGTCCCTCTCCAGCTTTCCTGTAGCCCCTTTAGGTACTGGAAGGCTGCTATAAGATCACCCCGGAGCCTTCTCTTCTCCAGGCTGAACAGCCCCAACTCTCTCAGCCTGTCTCCATACAGAGGTGCTCCAGCCCTCGGATCATCTTCGTGGCCTCCTCTGGACCCGCTCCAGCAGCTCCCTGTCCTTCTTGTGTTGGGATTAATCAGATTAATTTTAATCTATTTTCAAGATTTATCTATTTAATTATTTCAGGCGTTTAGAAAATAATTCTGTCTAAAAGGGATCATATATCTCTAAAGAAAAGATGAACAATTTGAGATACAGCTCACTCAAGCCACTGGGAATCTTTTCAGTTCTTTGAAATGGTATTGGATCAGCTATAACATGGCACAGTTAACACGGAACACATTTCTGCAAAGAAGATATAGTTTGCCAGCAATTAGTAAGAAAAATTAGGCCAAGGAAAAGAAAACACCAGAGGATAACTACCATGCTCTAAGACCTCTCTGGAAAAAGTTCTAAGAGGTAATAAAGCTGCTAGACTGATTCTAACAAAAACTGAATTTTGCTAAGAAACAATTTAATACATTAATTAAAATAGATTTAATTCTGACTGTGTTCTTGAGCATGGAATACATTCCTGTGCTTGCTAATAACTCAGATCAGTAGATGAAATGTAGCCGTTACTTTCGGTGTTGCCATAGAAGGGAGGGGGTTTCGGACATGTTACTGACCATTGCGTAATTTTAATTTCAACCGTATTTTCTGAGAGTACAGATTTATTTCCTTTTTCTAGTGAACAAAACATCTTTGAAAGTGCTCTCAACGTACATAGCTTGTTTACTTACCCAGATGTAAACACTGTTTTCTTAAAAAAAATCAAATAAGATAAAAACACCCCTCAGGAGTCCATGGGTTCAGTTTGCTCTCTCTTGTCTTTGCCTTGCAGGTTCCTCGCAGCAGTACATGGGTCAGGAAGAATATTACAGCGAACAGTACAGCCATGGACAAGGCTCCTCAGAACCTATGAATCAGCAATACTATCCAGATGGTAATT